CCTCACAACCAGAAAGTAGGAGATGGGAACACCAGAAGAGATTAGGTTTAGTGGGGAAGATTATGAGTTTGGTTTGGGGCATTTTGGGTTTGAATTGCCTTTCCCATCTACCAAAACAAGCAAGCATCTGCCCCTTTTCTCATCAACTATAGATTATTCTGTATGCACTATGACTAAAGTAACACTATGCAAGATTTTACTGGTCTCTGATTGTCATGCTATGTAAAGCAGATTACGAGGGTAAAGACTGAGTCTCCCCTAGTCTTTAAAGCACTAAGTAGTTGGCACAAAGTATATGCATAACATTGCTGATAGATTTCTCATTTTCACAACATAGGCAACATTATTATTAATCTCATTTCACACATGAGGTGGCTCAGTGAGGGCCCAGTTATATAAAGGGTTTTTCTCAGTATCACTCAACTGATGAATAGGAGCAGGTCTGCCTGGCTCTATCTAATATCACAGATTCTCACCATTTGGCCACACTGCTTCCCTAGTTACATTCTTGTTAATCATTAACTGTAAGAATCCTGCATTCCTCATGTACATATATATGTGTGAAAAAAAATTTCTAGGTCATTATATTTGAGAAGAAATGAGAGGATACACAGAAACGACTTCTTATAAAAGGAAATAACGTAAAACTAGTTACAATGAAGTCTAGTCTCTGACTTTAAAAAAAATCTTAAAATTTTAAACTCTCTTAGGCAAAGGTCACAAAATAAATACCAAATTCCAGGGAATGTAAAGCATCTCCTTAGGTAAATATTAGGTAGATGCTGTTCACTTCATAGAGTGCTATAAGAAGCAGCAAATGGGACTAAGAACTAGATCTGTGTCCTACTATTGGCTGTGTAACTAGGTGTGACAGTAGACAAGGTGCCAAACCTCTCAGATCTTCTGGTTTCTTCAATTATAAAATTAGGGAGATGAACTTATTCCAACCAGCTAAATACTATATCAGGATTTCCTAAGATTGGTGCGGTGAATGAATTTTTATAGATGAGTCATTTTTAAATGTTCCAATGGGAAACTCATCTTTATAAAAATTATACAGGGAATTATTTGATAATCACCTAAGGCTACGTATTTTATAACTCTGGGTGGTTGCACATTTGCTTGACTTATAGAGGGGCATCCCCTTCTTCATTATTCTTCGAAGGTTGGAAAATCTTCACACTTCAAAACATGACAAAAAGTAACTACCCTCACTACCACCATGACCCTCCAGCCCAACAAGTGCTACAGCTGGGACTGCTCCCTTCATGCTCTTCCAGTTGGCTGACACTTGACCCATCTATTTACAGAAAGTCCATTAATCTGATTAGGGTTTGAACACCTGGTTGAAGCTGCTTTTGTTTTTGAGATCTTTAATAAAAATACTACATGGGTTGCAAAGTCTTGAGAGTATGTTTTTGTCAGTCAGGAGAGTTAGATTTCCCCCAAAGTTGAAACTTAATAAGGAAACAGGAAATCAGAAATGGTAATAAAATGTGGAAATATGGGCAGAATACTAAGTCAAAGGAAATGTGACCGAAAGAAATATGACTTCAAATCTAAATGCCAAAATCAGAATTTTTAACTAAAAAGCTAGAGCTTGGTCTTACTCTTTCTCTGTTTCCTGAGGGACATGGGGATGGAGCCAAGGTAGAGAAGAATTAAAAATCCCAGGACATTGACTGAAAAAGTTATCAGCCTATAAAAAATGCCATTAACTATATTCACCATTAGCATTACCAGGTAAAAATTTAGCTTAATGAGAAGCTTTGGACTGTATAATTTGGGAAGAAGTTGAACATATTTCTCATCTTAAGCATTTTTGTTACTGTAGTTGGATTTCAACTTATAATTGGCATTCCACATTGAAACAGCAATAAAAGTTTTGAAAATTAAATGCTTACCTTCCCCATCAAATGTTCCTTGTCCTTTCAGCATTTTTTTCTGAGACAAAAAAAAAGCAAAAAAAAAAAAAAAAAGGAGAAGCAAACGATGTATGAATGAGCCAAATACAAAATATGGCTATTTTAAGTACTTTTTTTTTTTGTCATTACATTAATTAGATTTCCAAGAGCACAGAGAAGCTGAGCCCCGGAGGAGTTCACCCATTAGATAACTACAATTCACTGAAACAATGAAATAAAATGTACAAGATCTCCCATACCCTGTCAAAACAGACTGAGAATCCTCAAATAACTAGCAGGTCAGCTCATTTTACTACTCGTGATTCACCATCACTGTTAAATTGAACTTTGCTATACTTGCAGAGTTGGAAAAAACACATAAAATGTTATGTAATTTCTTTAAGACCATGGGCTCTAAAATAAAACAGGCTTACTTGTGTTTTGCATATGTGACATTTATATAGACTGGTTCCAGTGCTCTGATTAACCAAGAAAAAATGTGGCTGCCAAAAAGAATCTCTGCCCTATTGCTGAGATCTGTCTTGTTTCTGCGGAAGGCAGCATACACTCCAAAATATCCCTCTTCAGTTTTCCCTGTTTCTTTATGTCATATTTGGCAATATTTTAATAAGTGCAGCTAATGGGACAATACAGGGGAGCGATACCACAACAGTGTCACCCTAACCTGAAGTTTTCAGCTGCTAATTTGTTAAATGCACTCAAGGATGAATGGGCATACAACGGGAATAAAACACAACCATAGGCCATGGTGACAAAAACAAGCAACAAAAAAGATGACAAAAGATTTGTGTCTTTTGTGATCCTGGCAGTTGATTTTCAAATTCACATTCTACCTGAATGACATCAAGTGTGTAGTAACCACTCAAAAAACAATTCAGTAAGTAAAAGCAAAAAAATAATCAACAGGCTCAAACAGGAATCAGCATTTTTCTGAATCAGCTGTGATAACAGCTACCATTGACTGAAACCTCTGAGCAAACTCCAGACAACCTGACTGCAGAGTGCGGGTCTGAGCATGCTCCTCCCCCTTTCAGCTATCTCTTTTAAAAGTGGTCAAGACTCACTCAGTCAATAATCTGCCATATTTCACTCTTGTCCCCCCAATTCTGCCTGAGCTTAGAAATTTAAAGGTGATGAATTTCACTTCTTCCAACAAAGCTGCACTAAACTCGGCTGTGCCGGCCAGCATCAAAGTGGCCAAGAGCTGGATGTACACTAGTAATCAACAGCAAAACACAGAATTAAAAGGGAATGACTTCTTCGGGTTTTCTCTATGCTCCTCCTCCCCACCCCCAACACATTTACTTTTGGCTTAGTGAATGGCGTGTCACACTCCTGCCCACTTTTACCTTTATCCTTCCCAGACTGGAAAACTTCTCCTTGTCTTCCATCACTGCTTTCAGAACAGGCTGGGACATTCTGTTCTTCTTCTTCGAACTGGTAGGACTGTCAAAATCAAAGCCACTGACCACTGCCCTGCGATAAGACGTGGACCGCAAGCCTCTCCGCAGAGACCCTGGGCTATCCACGTCGTTATCGAACTCACTCTCCTCCCCTGCGTGACCCAGAGGTCCTCCTAGGCCCTCCACCATGCTGCGCACCTTGAGGAGTCTCTTGTGGGGCTCCACATTCTGATTGTTGGATTTACTTATTTTAATTTCCGAGGCCAGACTCTTCGGAATGATCTGCTGCTTCCCCACTTTGAGGGCGGCGGGGCTGTTTGTACTCAAAACCACGGAAGGATTCTCGAGGAGCTCGTTCTCCTGGGAGGGGAGCCTTTGGAGGGGAAGTTTTTGTTCTGAAGAACTTTTCTGGGGCGCAGGAGAGAGCCCCCGTTCGGGCTCCTTAGCCTTCTGGCTGGACTGTGAACCCGACCCAGGAGAATCGTTATTAGCGGCAAGGCCATTTGCAGTGGGCGAAGGCACCGGGCTGGCATTCAACCCAGTCGGGTCCTCTTCGGGGGTGCAGGGGGCGGGCGCGTTAGGAGTCCGCGGAGAGCGCAGAACCGGCGGCGGCGGCGCAGGCAAGGTCACCGGGCCATTTGCTGGGGATTTCGGGGAGCCTCCCGGCACCGCTTTGGGAAGCTTGGGTGACTTGGGCCGTCGAAGTCGAGGAGAGGCAGCCCTGTACTCCGGGGATGCCGTCCCACCATTGGCCACCGCTCTCCGCTGGGCTCCCAGAAGCAGGGGGCTCCTATGTACCGTCCTGCTGTCCGAGTCAGTGGGCACCCGGGCGAGAGTCTGCGCTGCAGGGAGCGTCCCTCGGTCCTCCACCGGAAAATCCGTAATTAGCAACCCGTTGGGGCTCTGGTAGGACTGGGGCCTCGGCTTGCTCCGGCCCAGCAGCTGGGGCTGAGGAATCGACCGCCTCCGCCACAAAGGGGTTATGCTGTTGCTAGAAAAATCCACTTCGCTCTCGCCGTCCATAGCCGGGCCTCGAAGTCAGCCCCGGTAGGAGCAACACCGGGTCAGTCTTGCCTAAAGAGGAAAGAAGTTAGGAAACGGTGCCTGCGGATAGGCGGGGACGCCTGGCCGACTCGCGTGCTCCGAGTCCGGCGGTCCCCCTGCTGCTGCGCAGGACACGACTGCACCGCACTTACCCGCCCTTTCTCGGGCAAAAACTGCACCACTGCGGTGCGCGGTCCCAGGCAGAAATCTGGGGTGCCGCCCAAATGGATTAATCCAATCAACTCCGCGTCCCTCCCACGCCAAAAGACCACCCGCACCAAACGAGCCCGCCACCAATTCACTGAGTGCAAGCCGAGGCACAAGAAACTTGGGACGAGTTCAGCTTTCTTGGGAAACTCGCCGCGGGACGCTCCCTTCTGTCGCCATCCAGCCGCCCGCCCTCATCGTGGGTACCCTCGTGCTCCAGATGCGCGGCTCCCAGGCAAATTTACCTTCTGGGACTTGTAATGTCCGGGGCCAAGGAGCACCCACTGCCCCGTGGGTGGCCTGGGTCCGGGACCGAAGCGCCGCCGCGAGAGCTTAAGAGAACGCTGCTGCCGATCGCGGCACCGGCCCCGCCCCCACGCCTGACTACGCCCACACACTTGGCCCCGCCCCCTTTCGGCCCCGCCCAGATCCGCCTCCGTTGCAGCCAGAAGCAAGAAGCTGTCTTCCCGCCCCCGCGCGCCTGCAATCAGCCCCAGTCTGCCTGGGAAACAGAGGAGCGCACCTGAGGTGGGTTCTGAGCTCCAGCGTTTGGGCTGGAAGTTGCGGACTAGTAGCTGCGGCGGCACTGGAGTGTAGGCGCGCGGGGTTGTTGCCAGGGGCATAGCGTGAGAACAAGCAAGGGAGTCCTGCTGAATTGCAGCTTAGGAAGCCCTGAATCCCGGAGGTGTGTTGAAACAGAACGCGCGGCGGAGTAGACTTTGTGAGACGCGTGGGTAGTAGCGCAGCATTCTAACGCAGAGTCATGCCCACTCAGCATTCAGGTGGTCTTAATCAGATGGGCTTGTTTCACTGCTGAAAATGCATTATAATATAAACAGATAGATGTGCTTGTTTGTGCCTAGAGTCTTTCCGTAGGAAAGACTGGCAGCTCTGAAGTGGGAAACTAGGTGACTAGGAAACCGGAGGGAGGGAGAGTTTTCATATAATTATTTTTGGTCCGTGTATGCTTTGAATCTTGAAATCTATCTATGAAAAATAAGCTCAATTTACACTACAAAAATAGTATTGGTTTCTAACAGTACATAGAGTAAAACTCAAAATCCTTACCATGGCTTACAAGAAGACACTGCACTACTGCCGTAACTCTTCAGCCTAGTCTTTCCATCATCACTTTCTCCTTCGTTATTTCTTTGGCCACACTCAAAGTTTGATAGCCTCAGAACCTTCCCTTTCGTTCCTTCTTGACCTGACTTGACACTGCATGAGAAAGGCAGTGTCCGCTCCTTAATTATACCATTGCCCCGTTTATTTTCCCAGTCACTTGTTCTCTTCTATTTCTGCACTTGTCAAATTTTGTATATTATATATATGTATTTATGTGTTTATGTTTATTGTCTGTTTTGTCTTTGCAAGGTAATTTCCATGAGGGCAGGGGTCATGTTTTTGGTTTTTTTTTTTTTTCTCCGTATTTCAGGCACATGGTAGGCACTTAATATTTATTTAATGAATGAGTGAATGAATGACAGGAATGAAGTGAAAACAGTGACCATTTCTTCCAAAGTGCTTGGTTGCCAAATAGTAGAAAGATGGCTGTGTCTTGGCCAGTCTCCTGCTGTGTGACAATAATCAGGCAAACTTGAGAAGACAAATAATTTTAGACCATAAGAGCTGTGTAATTGATTCTATTAGCAAGACATATGGGCCCTTCTCCAAGTTCTCTTTCAGCATTCATGCATTCAGCAGGGATGCAGTGAGCATCCATTGTGTGCAAGTTATGCTGCCTGTTTTTGCCCTAAATTGAATGCAATGGCCAAAAATATTAAGATGTGATCTCTGGGTGGTGAGATGAAGGATAATATGTTTCATGCTTCTTTATAATATATTTTCTTTATATTTTTCTTTATATTATATATTACAAAATATACTGTGCAATGAAGATATATTACTTTGATCTGAGACATTTTCATAAACAAAGAAAAGAATAAATGGCATCGAAAAATGTATAAGAAACTTTTTTTTTTTGAGACGGAGTTTAGCTCTTGTTGCCCAGGCTGGAGTGCAATGACGTGAGCTTGGCGCACCACAACCTCCAGACCTCCCAGGTTCAAGCGGTTCTCCTGCCTCAGCCTCCCGAGTAGCTGGGGTTACAGGCATGTGCCACCACGTCCGGCTAATTTTGTATTTTTAGTAGTGAAGGGGTTCTCCATGTTGGTCAGGCTGGGCTGGAACTCCCGACCTCAGGTGATCCGCCCACCTTGGCCTCCCAAAGTTCTGGGAATTACAGGTGTGAGCCACCGCTCCTGGCCTAAGAAAATTTTTTAAAAAGAAATTTTCCAAATTGGGCGGAAGACATATGGCTGATTACATACTCAGGCGTAGATACATAGACTTTTTTTTTTTTTAATATAAGGTGTTTTCTATACCAACATGTACTGCTGTTATGTTGGAAAAAATATAATAAATTAATTTCAAAAGTGGTTACCTAATGAGAAATGGAGTATTCACCTAATTCAAAACGCAACCTGTGACCTATATTAAGAAGCTGTAAAAGGTGATGTGAGAAGGTGGCTTTTCTTGAAATTATGTTGCCTCTACAAACAAGTGTAACCGATATTTGTGAAGACTTCATACGATCTTCTTACCTCATTTCCAACAAACAACAAAATACCTACCAAAACAACAACAAAACACCAAGCTCTGGTCCTTCACTGAGGGAAGTTTACAAACTCACAGGCCTAGTGCCTATTCAATGTATTGGTATCTATTCAAATCTAAGATATCTTCAATTATATGTTCCACCAAGAAAGGAAAAGAGCTGCTAATTAAACTAAGACAAAATGTTATGTCATATCGAATTCTTACTTTATACTTACTGAGTACTTTTAGACACTTATACATAGATTTGTTTAGTACTGTGCATGTGTGGGAAAGAAAATATAAGCAAAATAAATTTACTGAAGTCCCGAACATTGAGCCTGATTCTTCTGAATACCTTTTCATGAAAAGCATTCCTATGTGAGTTTTTCCACACAGTGCCGTTGATAGTGCATCATTTCTTAAAAGGATGTTCCAGTCTTGTTTCTGGGATTTGCTTCCTAGACAATGACACTCATTCTGCAAATGTGATACTGGCACTATCCCATTTGACTAAACACATAGTTTTCTTGTTCAACTGAATGGTGTATCAATACAAGCTATGCAGCTTCTCTATTAATGTCCAGGAGAAAGTTTCTCACAAATTGTAGTTTCATGCCTCAACCATAGTCCTGCATGAAACATGAATTGGTTATATCAACCTCTCTTTGCTTTGAAATTTCTTTCACCTAATCTGTCATATCTGGTAATTTCTCCTGCCTTCAACTGTGTTTCTTGGCATGTGGCTTTGACACAGTAGGACTAAATTTAATAGAATTTAGTAGAAATGATGACAATTCATTTATGCCCATGTTCAAATATAGACAATGCCAACTATATCATCACTGTCACCTGACCACTGGCTGTTTATTTGATAGTAAGATACATCCCATTTTCAGAGAAATTAGCATGTGGTACCAAATTGTTCTTAAAATTGAAGAAATATAGTATGTCGAACTATTTGTAATGATATTTTCCGCTGGTATATTCCAATGCTATATAGAACTATTAGAATATTCAATGGTATAATGCAAGATATATATGGCTACATTTACTAAATGAATTCACATTGGTCACAAATTTTGTGTCCCAAGCACAATAAGTAGGCTAATTTTTAAACACAAATTGTTAGCTTGTCTTATTACAATATATGTCCAGTTTTCCAATATATCCCATCCCATGCACCTTTTGTTTATACATTGAACAAATATTTATTGGGTGCATTCAAGTGCCAAGCATTATTAGGACAGACATTCCTGAACCTTACAGTTTGGCTCATGGAAACATGACTGAAACGCTAAAATAGTAATGTAGGACACCCACACTGTGTAAGATGCATAGTAAGCTCTCTGTTCTATGGAAACCTTTGTGAAGGAGTCTGGATAAAACTGGCCCAGATGGGTAGGTAAAGTATCACAAGGTGGAGAAGAGGAGAATGATGTCACAGAAAGATGTCCCAGGATAAGCAAAAACATGGAGAGATGGCTGGAGAACTGATATTCATTAAGTGCCAACTGTATGTTAAGCTGTGTTGTTTGTTACACGTAAGTTAATCACACATTAGTCTTAAGCCTACTTAAATGTGGAGCTGAAGCCCAAAAAGCTCTTCTCATGCTGTTGATAAGTGGTTGAATCAAAATCCTAAACTTTTTCTTTACAATACTCCAGAGCCCAGGCATCAAAACATGCAAGAAACTAAGCTCACCAAAACACAGTTTGCATTTAGAAGTTGTGGGATAATAATTTGGCTGAATTTGGTGAGAATAGAATGTGGTATGCAACAGAGACTGAGGGATTGAGATTTTACCTGAAAGGCAACTAACTACTCTCATACGATTTGGCAGTTTGGCTCTGTGTCCCCATCCAAATCTCATCTCAAATTGTAATCCCCATGTGTTTATGGAGGGAGGTGATTGGATCATGGGGCAGTTTCCTCCATGCTGTTCTCATGATAGTGAGTGAGTTCTCAAGAGATCTTTTGGTTTGATAAGCATCTAACACTTCCCCTGCTTGCACTTCTCTCTTTTGCTACCCTGTGAAGAAGGTTCTTGCTTTCTCTTCACCTTCTGCCATGAGCGTAAGTTTCCTGACGCTTCCCTGGCCATATGGAACTGTGAGTCCATTGAGCCTCTTTCCTTTACAAATTACCTAGTCTCAGGTAGTATCTTTTTAGCAGTATGAAAATGGACTAATACATACTCCTTGAAGATACTGAAACTTTGTCATCTTCTAAAAAATGAATATGATGACACCAGTGTCAGAAATAAAAAACAAAACATTGACAGACTTGACAATTTAAACATTTTAGCCTTTGTGCATTGAGAAATGCCACAAAAACCCATAAATTTTGAGGGAAATCTTCTGTTAGAAGGAAATTAGAGAAAAATGTTTAAATACGTATAAAATATAAATATAAATATAAAATATAAATATAGTCATATATTTAAATATTTATATATTATATATTAAAAATGCATATTATATATTAAAATATATAAATAAATATATATGACAAAGTGTTAAATGGCTATAGCATACAATCAATAAGAATAAGATAACAAAAGTTGTAAAATGAACAGAGTAAGAATAAGCATTTTGGAGAAGGGTGTCCACTGTACATCAAAATATACTCAATCCCAATAATAAAAACAAAATTTAAGAAGTAATGAGATAATTTTTCATTTATTAGATTAGCAAAGATTGTCTTTTTTTTTTTTTTTTTGATATGGGGTCTCACTCTGTTGCCCAGGCTGGAGTGCAGTGGCGCAATCCTGGCTCACTGCAACCTCCACCTCCTGGGTACAAGCAGTTCTCTGCCTCAGCCTCCCAGGTAGCTGGGATTACAGGTGTCCACTACCATACTCAGCTAATTTTTGTCTTTTTAGTAGAGATGGGGTTTCACCATCTTGGCCAGACTGGTCTTGAACTCCTGACCTCATGATCCACCAGCCTCGGCCTCCCAAAGTGCTGGGATTACAGGCGTGAGCCACAGCGCCCATACAAGATTGTCTTTTAAAAAGGCAATACTCACTGTTGGTAAAAGCACAGGCAAAAGAGAATTCTTAATCATTCATGGTAAGAATGTAAATTGGTACATCTTTCTGAAGAGCAATTAGATGATACTTAACCAAAATACTGATTAACTTAAATAAACCTTTTGTTATGGTGGCCAAAAGTTAGCAACAGGCTAAATATCTATCAGCAAGGGACTGGCTAATAAACCATGATGTGCAATGCAACCACCAAAAATAATTATACGCAATTATAATTATACAAAAATTCAAAATATATGATTAAATTTTTTTAGAAAGCTGTTTTAATACACACTATGCAAACTATCCTACTTTGAGTTTTACAAAGTGCAAATAGCTGTATGTAAAACTATTTCTAAATATATAAAACATATTTGTGTATATGTATAATGCCTAGATTTTGAATATTCACCAAAATGTTATGTTTACTCTGCACGGCTGGATTAATAGTGATATTTAGATTATGTTTTGCTGTGAAACAAGCCACTCCAACACTTAGTGACATAAAATAGCAACTTCTATTATTTGTTATTTTTCACCATTTTGTGGGCTGGCTTGGCAATTCTTCAGTAGGTCTCACCTAGGTTTTCTCATGTGGCAGCAGGGAGCCAGCTGTGGGGTTGTCTGGGTCAGGAGGACAAAGCCCCCCTCACATGCCTCACAGCTGGTTGATGCTGGCTGTTATTTGAGGCTCCTGTTCTCCGTTTCTCAAATCTTCAATGTCCTAAACAGGGTAATATCCCCGTGATTCCTGAGACAATGGAGTGGTAAGTCAAAATGATAAAGAAAAATCTGGAGAGGATACTTGAAAAACAGGTTTTGAAAATTGACTAGATCTCTTTGGGAAAAAAGTTCTTAAAAGGAGACTTTCTACAACACTTACTAATGATTTATATATTATCTTACATGTTAACATTTTGTGAGCACTTACAGTATACAGACCCTCTTTGAAGTGCTTCAGCTGTATTATATAATTTAATCCTCACAACAACCTCATGAAGTAGGAACTACTACCGTAATCCATTTATACACAAGAAAATTAAGTATAGCACAGAGAGCTAAAAAGCCATGCAGCCTGGCTCATAATTATTACGCTATATTGTTATATTGTTTGTGATTCCATTATGTATTTATGTTTTTTACAAATAATATAAACACCCCAGCGTCAGACTGGTTCTTTATCTCCAGTATTGCTTCAGTAATGGACAGATTGATCAATTGGTGAAAATGCCCAAAGTTATAAGGAAAAGGAGGTGGAGGAAGGGATGTCATCCAAGTAGGAAGAAAGCCACAAAAGCCTGAGAAAGGAAGTTTCCGAAAGGAAAGTCATATCAGCAGCCCTGTCAGTCACCTAATATTTATTCAACTCGTGGTTGGTACCTCGCCCTCAGCTAGCTATGGGTGCAGTGATAAAGTAAATAGGCAGATGATTCTTGCCATGGTGTATCAAGAAAGACCAACCTTAGATAGCATTGAATGCTAAAGATGCTGCTCACTTAGTGCCCTTGCAGCTGGCACCTTCAGTCTTGGTGGGCACTGAACCCAACTGGCAGGGCTTATGGAGAAGACAAGTAGAAAACAGTCTAAGAACTTAACTGCAACGGTGGGAATTGTGACAGTAAAAGGAAGGAGAAAAATAGGGCAGTAGATGGACGATAAGGGAGAAATAAACAGTTTTAGTTTCAAGACTGAGGACACTTGATTAGACATCAGGAAGCTGGGTTTGAGTTTGTGTTTACCACTTTTGAACTGTTGGAATGAAGACAAGTCATTTAATCTCTAAGACCACAGTTTCTTGAACTGCAACATGAAGTATTTCCTCCTCTCAAGCACAGTTTGGGAAACACTGGTATAGATTAGAATAATTTGGATGTGGCCGGTCTAATGGTTGTAGGAAAGTAGGAAATGGGGATGGGGGCAAAGAGTAGGGGAGACCTAGCCAGATAAGTGCACAAAAAACTGAATTCTAATTTATTTTCCCCCTCTTGAACAGCAAATAATTAGAATAAAATTCTATTATTTTTAACTCCATGATAAAGAGTAAAGATCATAATGAGAAAAGGGTTAGGACTTGTTCAAAATGACTCCGAGGACTCTCCATGGCCAGATGGAAGGCAAATGGCTAGAAGATTTCACCAAGTGGAGAAGGGCTTCTTTCTTGCTCCCAGCGCTTGCCTGCAGCATGCAATCTGTTCACCCACAACCGCAGTGAGAATGATTGAAAGGTGATGCATTGAACCTCCAGTGACACCATGTTTTGAGGGGGAAGGTCCCCATTTAACTAGAGTAATTAAGATCCCAGGTAAACCGTGAGGTCAGAGTATAGAGTGACTCCCACAACTGGCAGCCACCAAGAGCTGTTCGCTTTTGTTCTTTGAATTGTAGGAATGAGGTAAGCAATTGAGCAGCCACTTTGTTCAACGTGTTCTAGTATGAGCTCACAGTATGGTTTGTACAGACGCTTTACCTCTCTAAACAGTGATTTCCTTGTTGCTTTGTTTTTTGTTTTGTGTTTGCTGTAAAATATTTAATACATGCATGTAGTAAAAATTAGGACTGCGTAAAAGTAAAAATATCTCTGTCACTCTTGTCTCTAGTTTCCAAGTTGGCCCGCTAGAGGCGTCCACTGTTAACAGTTTCTTGTACTTTATAAATTCAGATGTATGGTAGACATTAGTAAGCATATATATGCCTACACATGCTACACACTGTCACCCTGTAACACTCCTCTGTTCCTTACAAATTACCTTAAATATAATTCATTTAATGCCAATACTTATAGAACTACCATATATTTTTAATAACTGCAGAGCGTTAGGTAGATCAAATAAAATTGCCGTTTTTGTAAGTCAAAAACAGTCAAATATCAGGAATTTCATATGGTTTCACCTAATAGTACATGATTCATTAGCAAATTTCCTATTAATAGACATTTAAATTATTTCTTTGCAAAATCTGAGCACCAGTGAAAAAACTGTAAAATTCCTTCCAGCTCTTAATTTCTGTAATTCTTTGCTTTGTTCCCATCCCTGAATGCCTGGAAGATGTAAGACAGTTAAAGAGAATGCTTTATTGAACAAAGATGCAGATATTATTTAATTTTGTTATGTTTAATTTAGAGTCTGCTCTTAATGCTATCTTAATGGTGAAATCATGATGCATCAACATGCTCTAAGGGTTTTGGTACTTTTTGAGGAAATTGGGTTGAGGTGCTATAATCACTATTACTATTATTTTGATTATTTCTCTTCTTTTTTGTCCTTTCCTGGATCCTGCTCTTTCGCTGGTTAACAAGACAGCATGTAGAATCACAACTCTTGTTTCATGAAGTTTGTTAAGTAATTTGAACAAAGGTATGTCACACTGTTCCTTTTGTACAACCAGTTTAATGTTTGCAAAAAACTCAAGATTTAAAAGAACAAATCTGTTGTGTCCACTCTGTTTTCCAGGTAAATTTATATCAAGAATCATGTGAGGATACTTAAGACCGGCCGGTACTTTCAAGTTTTCTCCTGCCCAGATCTGTTTGGAAGAAATCTAGTCTTATCTGCCTCAAAAGTCCAGCAGAGAAAAATAGCTGAAATAAATGAAGCCTGTGATTACTTGGTTCTGTGTTTACCTAGACATTCTGGCATTTGGCTCAAAAGACAAAGCTTTTTAGATGTGCTATTTGAACCTGGTTTTGCTATAGATTTTAAATTGGAAGAAAAAATGGTAACAAAGTAAAGCTCTCTAAATCATACACATTTGGGCTGACTACCAAGCTAGTCTCACCCAGCAGTACTAATAGAATGTGAAAAATGCTTTCCAGGGTTGAGGTCTGCCACCTAGCAACCGCTTTGAAATACCTCCTGCACTGACCCAAGGCTACTCAAAATGCCCAGTTTTGAAATTGGTGGGACATTTTGCTGTGTATGGGCCACAGTCATTGAAAGGAGGATTAGAACTTTGTTTTTCAGGCCAAAGACATGCAGATTAGAAGGACTGTTTAATTTAACTGCTCAACTGGTTTGGAAATAGAACTGACAGATTAAATACAGATGAAAGATAATTGCATCAGATATATGCTTTAAAAATCACTTGTTTATCTGAAATTGAAATTGAACTAAGCATCCCGTTTTTTTAAAGTTAAAACTGGCAATCCTATTTTGGAGAGACTTTTTTAGTACAGGGCAGAGGGATATTTGTAAAATATGCACTGTATATATTAACTTGATCCCCCAAGGCTGATGACGTTATAGACCTGGACACCTTTCTCAGAGTACTGACTGTTGGGCCTGTGAAGAAGCCTGAAGCATAGGAGACCAAAGGTGTGGGTAGGGCAGGAACTAACAGAAGACAAGAAATTGCTTCAAGTTTGCACCCAGGAAAGCTATGCTGAATGTAGGACAGGCAAAGGAAGGGGTTGAGCACAGAAGGGCAGTGACATCCCATAGGCAAAATGGTGGGTGGCGAGGAGAGGGAAATGCCCAGAAATCAAGAAGGAAGTGGACATGGCATGACATCAGCAGTTATTTTATTTTTGAGGACAGAAGGGGTGAAGTGAAGCCATCGACATCAATGTTCACTCTGAAGCCTGGGCTGAGGTGGGAGGGGTGTAGCCCGGGATCCACTGGAGGGCATTGCCACCTTCATGCGGCATCCCAACAATTCTTAGGCTGCTTGCACCAGCAAGGGAACCAGCCTGGGAGTGCAGAGGCTTTTTCAGGGACCCCCTTTCAGCTTCACCTGGCCCAGTTCTGAACTTGTCATTTTGATATCACAACCTCCTATCCCTCAAATCTGTAGCCTCCACTCACAGAATTAACCTGGCAGTACAGAACAGTTAAAACATAGAACTACATACATAATCCCTATGTGTCTGTACATAATTCAACACCTTCTGAAGAACACACAAGAAGCTGCTAACTGTGGCTGTGGTGGTGGAGGGCGAGTGGGTTGGAGGAGGTGGATCCTGAATGAAAGCGAGATATATTTATTCCATATATCGTACATGCTCATCTATTTATTTTTCCTTGTGTATGTATCACTGACTCAAAATGAAATTTAAATATCATTACTATAGACAAAGCCAGCCCAGAATCTGACTCACATTTAAACTACCTGCATCATTGATTTAAGATGGCTCATTACACTAAGGTGTTTTAAAATAAACATTTTATATGGTTTTGTATTATATGTTTGAGAGGTCTGGGGTCTGACATTTTAGTGTGCTTTCTGGAAAATTTGCTGCTGAAATAAGGGAAAAATCAATAGCAACTCTTGACCAAAAGCTTTTGCTTATCTTTTCAAGTATTTACTCTGAGTTCTGTGCCATGTTGTTTTTATATATAGATATTTGAAAGTGCAAAATGAAAGTGTGATAGAAACCAGAGTCTTTTGTAGCTTTTTTTTTCTAAATAAAAGCAATATAGAGTCCTCTTTTGTAAATTCCATTAGGCCAGGAGTCTTTGTCTCTTTTGTTCAGTAATGGATCTCTAAGACCTAGAGCCTTTCTTGGCATACATTAGGTGCTCAGTAAATATTTGTTGAATGAAGGAATACATAATCATGATAAGACTCCAAGCATTACAGAAGAATATGCCATGGAATATGTAATCTTTTCTAATGCCTTTCCTCCAAATAATCATTACCCTAGTCTCTTAAAATGAAAGAACAAATCATTTTCTGAGGTGTAAAATTTCATTATAAATATATTTTTGAAAAATAATTATCAGCAATTTGAGACCAGCCTGGCCACTATGGTGAAACCCCATCTCTACTAAAAAATACAAAAATTAGCCGGGCATGGTGGCACGCACCTGTAGTCCCAGCTACTCGGGAGGCTGAGGCAGGAGAATTGCTTGAACCTGGCAGGCAGAGGTTGCAGTGAGCCAAGATCACGCCACTTCACTCCAGCCTGGGCAACAGCGTGAGACTCCGTCTCAAAAAATAATAATAACAATAATTCAATGGCACCATAAAGAATAAAACGACAAGCAACAGAATGGGAGAAAATGTTTGCGAAAGACTAGTATTTAAAATACATGAAGAACTCATTACAATCAATTAGAAAAATGGACAAAACACTTGAGTACACTCTTCAGGTAAGAGTAAATCCTAATGGTCCAAAAGCATATGAAAAGTGCTTCATCTCATTAGTCATGAGAGAAATGGAAAAAAAAAAAAAAACACAATCAGCAGTTTAACAAAAATGTAAAGTGTCTGGCCGGGTGCAGTGGCTCACACCTGTAATCCCAGCACTTTGGGAGGTCGAGGCAGGTGGATCATGAGAAAAAGATTGAGACTATCCTGGCTAACATGGTGAAACCCCTTATCCACTAAAAATACAAAAAAAAAAAAAAAGTCAAGTCTCACAATACTAATTGTTGGTGAGGATCCTGAGCAACAGGAACTCTCCTGTAGGAGAGTAACTTGGTAGTCTACTTTACATAACTCTTTGGCATTATCTTCTAAACCTGATTATACAACAATTTCATGTATATGAAATAAAAATTCATTATTAGCATAAAAGCAATATTTATTACATGCCAAAATTGGAAACTACTCAATTATCTACCATCAGAAGAAGACATTTAAAAGTATAGTATAGATCCACTGTGGAATTCTGCAAAGCAATTAAAATGAACAAACAGCAACTTCAGGCAAAAACATGGATAAACTCATTAACATATAGTTGTCATAAGGTTCTATAATGGCTTCCCTAGGGGATCAGCAAATTGTTTCAGTGGACAGACTCTTTTAGCAATTCAGAAATGTCCCAGTGCTGAGATAGTTTCTATCCGGAAAGCCAGCTCCATCTAGGGACAAGGTGTTAGAGGGTTCTAGGGGAAGAGATACATATAGAGGTCACTAAAGGGGTTTGTAGATGCAAGGTGGACTGTGGGGCCAGGGAAACACTCAGACACTGGCATAAAGTCCCCAGCATAAGGAGCAGAGAGCAAGTCTGTAGCTGGGGCTACCAGAATCTCTCCTGAGGTCTTTATGCTGGGATTCACAGGCCTGGCCATGGATCAAGAGCAAATTCTGCTGCAGTGGGATTCTTGAGCATCTGGGAAGAAAGGGGCTGCAGAAACATGTGAGTCCTCCAACTACAGAATTCATGGAGGCAGAGGCTCTGGGTGACGTGCTTGGCTTCTTGTCTCTGGCCTGGGGTCATTGTCACTGATACTGGTCTTGCTGCTTCTGCTGCTGAGTGTCTTTGGCTCAGTTATTGTTGAACCACACCAGAACTTGTGCTCAGCTCAGGGTGAGTGTTTTAGCCTGTGCCTCCATTTTTTCTTTGGGGGTTGACCATCTCATCTTCTCATAGTTTTTCTTTAATTCCTATCACTGTCTCCTATTATAGATATGTTCCTGACCCTTCCTTCTTGAAGGGACAGCCGTGTAACCATTCAACCATCTGGCCATCAGTTTCCACATCTGTGAGATCAACTTCTGCCTCATGGAGCCATGAGTCCCCAAGGTACTTGCAATCCTTTACTACTGCTGTTTCTACCTGTTGTTGTCACTTTGTTCTGAAGAACCACTGTGAGTTGGTTCTGCAAATGTGAAGAAATGTGAGTTTTAGGGGGTTTGTATGAGCTCTACATATGGATAAAGACAGAACTTGTGGTCATGAAAATATAATGAAATCTGAGCTCTACCATTTTCTAGGTGAATCTTTGAATAAGTCCCTAAATCTCTCTGACTTTAATTTCCTTATTTTGAAAGTGGAGCTAATACTCCTAGCCCAGACAGCCACCCAGACTGGATGTGAGCATGAAATTTTAAAATGCTTGTGAAAAACACCTTATAAAATCTATAAAAACAAAGGTAGACATTTATTATTGATTCGCAGGGGCTGAATTCTCACAGTCAAATGAACATATGAATTGCCTGAGAAGCATTTTCTTTTTCTTTTTCTTTTTTTTTTTTTTGAAAGAGTCTTGCTCTGTTGCACAGGCTGGAGTGCAGTGATGCCATCTTTTCTCACTGCAAGCTCCGCCTCCCGGGTTCACACCATTCTCTTGCCTCAGCCTCCTGAGTAGCCAGGACTACAGGCGCCCGCCACCACGCCCAGCTAATTTTTTTGTATTTTTAGTAGAGATGGGGTTTCACCGTATTAGCCAGGATGGTCTCGATCTCCTGACCTCATGATCCGTCCACTTCGGCCTCCCAAATGCTGGGATTACAGGCGTGAGCCACCGTGCCCGGTTGAGAAGCATTTTCAAAGCACTCAAGGTCGACTCCTGCTTAGACCACACTGGTCTTGTGGTCTGGAGATGATTTTTATTCTGTGGGCTACAGCAGAGCCCATGAATCTGCATTTTATAAATCATCCAGGTGATGTTGATATAGATGACTTTTAGATCTCACTTTTAGAAAATTTTGGTTTCACTTTGGGTAATATTAACTTTTTCACATGCAGATGTTATTTGTTTAAAGAAACCCTTAATATTTCCCTTTGAATAGAGGGGATATTAACACTGAGCATTCAAATTAGGGATGCTAAAGGAGCTCTCTAGAACCTTTCTTGAGGGTATGATAAGTAGAATTCTGATAAGCAAAAGGAAATTTTCCAAGCCAAAGCTTTGATGTGTGTATGTGTGTATATACCACTTACATATATTTTTTCATGCATCAATGTTCATACTCCTTGTTCATACCCTTTGTGCATTTTTATGTTGGGCAGTTGATCCTTTCCTTATTCAATGTGAACACCTTGAGTACGTAGGAAAATAGGCTTTTGCTGGCTATATGGCTTGCAAATGTTTTCCTAGCTTGTTGTCTTTTGACTATGTTAATGCGCTCCTTGCTATACAGATTTACAGCAAATGTTTCAGTCAGTATTTTCTTGAACCACACCAGAACTTGTGCTCAACTCAGAGTGAGTGTTTTAGCCTATCCCTCCCTTCCTTTGTGGATTGGCCATATCATCTTCTCATAGCTTTTCTTTAACTCCTATTACTGTCCCCTAATATAGATATTATAGAGAGGCCTATTTCACTCTGTGATTATTTTTTAAAAAGTAACCAAACTAGGAGAATCGCCTGAACCTGGGAAGCAGAAATTGCAGTGAGCCAAGATCGCGCCACCGCACTCCAGACTGGTGACAGAGCGAGGCTCCGTCTCAAAAAAAAAAAGTAACCAAACTTTCTTTGGGGGCACTTTTGCCCAGATGGCATGTCTTACAGTAGTATTTTGGCACTAGTAATAGGCACCTCAACAACAGTGTTTCTTTCCCTCCTTTTCTCTTAGTGTATACATCACTGAATCAGTTGCTTTATTCATGTTTACTCTTAATCTTAGTGCCTCACAGATACTACTGTCTGTACTTTACTATGAGATCTACAGAAGTGTTACAGTGAGGATACTCTTTTCTTCATTCCATACTCTCTGAAACAGTTTAAAGAGCCTAAGACTGACTCACTTGCTTTTTGAAAACTGGAAAACTTCACAGTGAAACTGCCTGAACCAGGCTTTTTTTGGTGTGATGGCTCTTTAATATTTCTCTCAGGGTTATTTATGTATTTGGATTTTATAGCTTTTCTTGAATCAATTTTTGTTTTTGCATTTTCTCAGATGTATTGAATTCTTCTCTTAACTGCCTTAATCACCTCTGTTTCTAAGATTTGTTATATTTTCTGTCCTATTTTTAATATTCTGCATTTGTGTACTCTTATTACTATTATTATTATTATTTTGACATGGCATATCACTCTGTCACCCAGGATGGAGTGCAGTAGTTCAATCTCGACTCACTGCAACCTCTGCCTCCCGGGTTCAAGTGATTCTGCTGCCTCGGTCTCCTGAGTAGCTGGGATTACAGGTGTATTTTTAGTAGAGATGAAATTTCGCCATGTTGGCCAGGCTAGTCTTGAACACCTGACCTCAAGTGATCCAACTGCTTCACCCTCCCAAAGTGCTGAGATTACAGGCCTGAGCCACCGCACCCGGCCACTTTTATTTATTTGATTAATATTGCCATACAAGCTTGCCTATTTAAATTTGGCAACTTTTTTAAAGGTTTCTTATATGTATTTATCAATTCTGCTGACTCTTTTTTCTATGTTACTTATTTCTTTTTTATCACTAGTAATGTCTTCTGTTTTTCTTTTGTTTTATTCTTTTTCTAATTTCTTGAATTGAATAGCTTGTATCAGTCTGGATCCAATTAGAAGAGGGAGATAAGTCACATAATTTGAACAGGGAAGGTTTAGTATAAAGAATTATTAACCACATTAAGGCACTGAAGTAATTAGGGATTGACTGGTAAGAAGTAAAAAGAACACTAAACACAGGAAGAGCACATACAAGGAACAGCCACTACTCTCTGGGTTGAGATAGAGCACCCAAGCAAGAAGCTTCCACTCTCTGCCCCGCCCCATCCCTGCGACTGACACCTGACCTTGTTGGAGAGAATGCCCTCTTGGCTCACTGGATGGTAAAGAAGTCTCTGTGATACTACATCAGTGGAACTTGCTGGAAATCTGCTCTCTGAAACTTGCCAAAAATCTGCCCTTTAGGATGCTAGGAAAAATTGTTCACAGGAAGATGTCTCACTCTGCTACAAAAGCACCCAAAGGGGATGTTGGGGCATGGAGTGGGAGAATTTCTGGCCCCTGAGTGCTGCTGTCCACTGCAGTGTAAGAGCTTGGCATTGGAGAAACTGCAAGCACTGCAGTTGGCAGGCTGCTAACCTCTAGGTGCTGTGGCTGCCATGCACTGCAACAGTTGAGCCCTCAAGAAGCTATGAGTGCTTTCAGGAGCGTGGTGCTGGAGAAAGCCACCCACTCACTCTCTTAGGAACCTGCCTTGTAAGCACACCAGAACCAGGAAGCAAGATCCTTTTCCTATTGCAGTGTCTCTCCAACACTCTTTACTGATAAATCTTCAGTGCCAGCCAGCAAGCAAAAAATATTTGAAAGACCAACCCAGATTCATTTTACAGAGCAATCACAAAGGGTAAATTTGGAGCCGAGAGGCAATGAATAGATAATTGACACATATTTTTTATTAATTCTTTTTTTTTTTTTTTTTTTTCCAGATGGAGTGTCACTCTCGTTGCCCAGACTGGAGTGCAATGGCGCGATCTCAGCTCACCGTGACCTCCCCATCCCGGGTTCAAGCGATTCTGATGCCCCAGCCTCCCAAGTAGCTGGGATTACAGGCATGCACCACCACACCTGGCTAATTTTGTATTTTTAGTAGAGACAGGGTTTCTCCATGTTGGTCAGGCTGGTCTCGACTGCTGACCTCAGGTGATCCGCCTGCCTTGGCCTCTCAAAGTGCTGGGATTATAGATGTGAGCCACTGTACCCGGCCTTATTTTTATTAATTCTTATTGGATAATGAAAGTATTTAAAAGTATGCATTTTATTCTGAGGAAAGTGTAAGTACTTCTCATAAATTGAAAGGTTGTGTTGTCATGCTTACAGGTCACTGGTGCTTTCTAATTAGTCTGCTATTGATGCTGTGACTTTCTGTGACTCAGTAGTGTACATTTTATTTCTAGTTAATAAGTGGACTTTTATTTATTATTTGTGTTTTGTTGCCATACAAATATTTACTTTTATTATATTGTAGTCAAAGAACGTGCCTTTATTACTTGTATTATTTGGAATATATTAAGAAACCCTTTTATAAAATGCATCATGAATTTTGAAAGGAATATGCATTGTCCACGTGTAAAAAGCTCAATATATATAATGCTAAATTATATAATGTATATTATATTTGTTAGCTTGTTCTGTAGAAGACTGAGAGACATGGATTGTCTGATTTTTTTTTCAATCTGTTAGTATAATTTCTCACAAATTTTATTATGTATATTTTTAAACTGTGTTATTTAGCACATAAACACTCACTGATTTAGCTTGAAAAGTTATATTAAATTCTTATCATTGTATGTTTGCCTAGATGTCTGGCATACAGTAGACATTTAACAAACATAAATTTAATTATGGCCTTAAATTTTTTAAAAATAATTTTGAATGCCACTTATTTATTAGCATCAATATCATATCATTTATATTGGTTGGAATGTGCTTTAAAATATGTTAGCCAGAAAAAAGTATGTGGAAGAGATGACAGAAGATTGACCAAAAAAAAAAAAATGTTGATAATCACCAGTGCTGGATGGGGATACACGAGGGTTAATAACAATATTCTCTTTTCTTGTTTATGCTTGAACTTTTTCACAATAAAAGATTAAAAATTATGTATATACCATCATTTATTAATTCTCCCCTTGTAGGATAAAAAAGTTAATTCTTCTAATAGTTTCAGGTTATTATTATTTGTGATTACAATAAATTATTTTAATTTTACATCTCTTTAAAAAATACTTTCATAATTTTTACAATATTTGCAGATTATTTCAATAGCTAATTAGACATTAATTCTAAATAATGTTGTAGAGGGTATCTAGAGTTCAGAACTGGCTGAGTTGGCAGCGCGGGAGGAGATGTGCAGTATTCAGCGACTGCTGCAGTGGTTTCCACCCTATGAGTCCATGTGGCAGAGGACTATGGGAGACTACTAATGGCTCATGAGAAATTGAAGCCTGAGGTCCCGTGACCCACAATGAACTGAATCCTGCCAACAACCACCTGAATGAGCTTGGAAATAGATTCATACCTAATTGAACCTTAAGGTGATTGCAGCCCCAGCTGACATCTTGATGGCAGACGTACAAGAGATCCAAAGACACAGGACCTGCGAGGCTGTGCTTCCATATAAACTGTGAGACAATAAACGATGTTTTAAATCACCAGGAGTGTGTTGTACAGCAATAGATAAATAATATAGTACTCAGTATACTCCCAATAGATTATTTTTCTGTTCAAATTTACCTTAGTTAAATTAACTTAAATTAATTTCTGCAAACTAGAACCTTGACTGATTATAGTCACTATAGTTTGCTTAGTGACATTTCAGCTCCATATTTTTTATATTACTGAGTCAACTGTAATATTCACTTGAGTATTTTCTCAGAAATGGTATATGTGTGATAGATTCTGTAACTCCCTTCTTCTTGAGTGTTTTCAAATGCAAACTACATTAAGAAATGCACCACCAAGAAATGAAATAAAATACATTTCTTATTGTGCGGTGGGATTGGAATCAGTTCTACCCAAGCCACATGGTTATTACACATTAGAGGAGGGGTTAGTGAGGACACAATTACAATACCACACAGTGATTTTAGAAGGCATCTGTGTTTGTCCCAAAATACCCACTTTAATGGATGATGAAGTCATTGAGCATTTCATAAAATTAATATAGGTTATGAATGACCTTGACTTACCACTATTCCTTCTGAATGTTTGACCCCTTCTAGAACAATTATTAGAGCAGAGGTCACAATCTGGTAGACCACAGATGGGTTTTGTTAGGACCACACATTGTTGGTCTGCATAATAATTTTAAAATTTTGAATAAGTTGCCAATATTTTAAAAATCAGGAGATTTTGCATTAAAAAGTACAGATTTCTGGCTTCCCTTGAATCAGACATTCTCTCTGGCAGTGCTGAGCACACGCTCCCTCATGGCAACAATAAACTGAAGCTGAGTGGCAGCTGCCTACTTCAGACAAGGCATGCATTTTCCAGGTTTCTACAGACCTCTTTGGACCATTTTGCATGCATAGGTACCCTTTGGCCTCTAGACTAGTTAGTCTGCAATCATTGTCTAAGGCCCTGCTTATGAACTTGCCCACCCACTGTGCACATGCACTCAATATGGTAACAATTGAGCTTACCCAGTACTGACCCTGGACTCCATATGGCAAATATGCTGTAAATTGTGGCTAAGAAATAGCTGCTTGTTCAAGAGCTACTTTTCAGAAATTCCTCTGCAGAGTCCATATGCACATAAAACTACAAAAAATGGAAAATTATTCTTTTGTCTTCCTTAAGGACTAAAAGATCTAATAAGATGATAGTTTGAATTGGCAGATTTGAATCCTGGACTTGTTAAGTGTGAGTAGAAAAATATCAATAGTAAAATAAAGCAAATGTAATATGCTTCATTACACCTCCACGTGCAGTGTAATATCACCCTTGCTGCCTTCAACAGACAGTAACCCAGGCCTAAACCAATCAGAAAATAGCATTTCCTAGAAACACAGGTTATAGCACAATAACTTTACTGGGCTGTTAACTTAGATTTTCGAGGTATACGAGATTCTAGAATTAAACTATTCAGTGTACTTATTTTTAGATGAGGAAATGAAGTCCCTAAGAGGTGATGTGAATTGGCCAAGGACATGTAGCTGTCTAGAGGTAGATTGAAACTATAGCTGAGTCTCCACGCTCTGTCTCTTTTATTTAAATTCATTATGTTGCCTTTAAAAATGAATATCTTTCTTAGAGTTATTTTGCATTCATCCTTCTCTTACAACTACTATTATTTATATTATTTTACAACCTAACTCCATTCCTGCCCTATTTACTATATAATATTTCCGGATTGTATGCCTCCCTAATCCAAACTCAAGATATATATTGTTAATTTTGCTCATTTTATGACTATGCCAGTCAGGACTCTTCTAATCACTAGAAGCAGAAAATCAATGAAACTGTCCTTGGCCAACAAGTTTTCGTTTTTTTTGTTTTTTTTTTTTTTCACTCAGATATCTGTTGGTGCTGACTTAAGCACTGCTAAATGCAGGGCCAATGATGTCATCAGATTTCTTGATCTGCTCATCTCTGTCCTCTGGGTGTATTGGACTACTTCTGGAGCAGACAACTTTCTCTAGACATCTGGGGAAGATAGGTGCCAGCAGTGCCACAGGTCATAATCATAGTTTAGTAGCCACATAGAGAGAAGTTTCTTCACTCACAATTTGTACATTGAGCTCAGAGAGAGACTCTGATTGGCCCTTCATGTGTCCTGTGTCTGTCCCTTATACCAATTTCTCTGTTCAGAAGAATATGCTACTGTTATAGGTTCAGATTGGATCTTGATTTCACTCATTAGGAGACAGAATGAGTTACTATGATGAAGGGCCCTCACTAGTATCACATGGAACTGGAGGGTAGGGGGCTGTTCCTTAAAACAAAGGTCTGGAAAATGACAGGGATGCTGCTAAAAGAAGGGATATGGAAAAGAGTATTGGGTGTTTACAAATAATACCTGTCAGAGTCTGCTAAAGCAGTCAAGCAGACAGTGTCGTTGCACTCAGTATGATTGTGTTTAGGAAACAGAATAAGATCCTGCTCAATTTCTATATACTCAGGAGATAGATGTTGTCGGGTTCCAGAGAGTGTATCCAATGATGGCAGCGATAGTTATTTACGTGAGGAAACTAAGAGTGCTCTAAGAGAGATGTAAAGCTGAGTGAGTCAAGGGTGGGGAGGAGATGAGGGTAAGGGAGTTGAAGATCAAGCACGGGGATGCTTTAATGAGGTTTGCACAAAGCCAGCTTTGTTGTTTGTTGGTCTTACTGTGACAGCAGTAACTTACCCTACAAATGGATTCTTAAGTTGTTTCAAAACTCTTGACAAATAACACCCCATATTTATAGATGCCAGACTTAGAGCAATTGCTGGGGCAAAGTGTAAATTGGTTTAAACTTTCTAAAGTTTACAACATGTATGCCCTTGGACTTAGCTATTCCCCTTCTCAGAATTTATCCTATGAAATATTTATACAGAAGATGTTGCCATAAGCTGTTAGTTTTATTATTATTATTATTTTATTTTTATTTTTATTTTAGACGGAGTCTCACTCTGTCACCCAGGCTGGAGTGCAATGGCATGATCTCGGCTCACTGCAAGCTCCGCCTCCATGGTTCACACCATTCTCCTGCCTCAGTCTCCAGAGTAGCTGGGACTACAGGCGCCCACCGTCACGCCTGGCTAATTTTTTTGTGTTTTTCAGTAGAAACGGGGTTTCACCACGTTAGCCAGGATGGTCTCGATCTCCTGACCTCATGATCCACCTGCCTTGGCCTCCCAAATTACTGGGATTACAGGTGTGAGCCACCATGCCCGGCCGCTGTTAGTTTTTATTGCAAGTAGTTAAAAGATGAAAACAACTTAAATGTCTCATGGTATCAGATCGAATAAGCAAAGAACTGCAA